TCGATAGAATCCATTGCAAGAGTACGAGATGATATGGGAGCTTCCATCAAAGTCATCGATTTTTTTTAAGAGTTGGAAGAGGCAGAAAGTGCTTTTATTCTCGCAATGCTAGATGTGGTGACTGAATGGGAAGGAGAAGAACAAAATCCACCATGACTCGGCCTCACTCATAACAGACAACTCGCCATAAGATTGCTCGTCTCCTGCGACCCTTTCCAATCCTATTCGCTTTGTAATGACGTTGCCTGCTTATGCTTATTCTGCATTCTGTCAGAGAATGGCAAATAGCGCTTCACAATCCGATATCTGTTCAAAGTCAACACAATACTGTAAAACATTGACAGAATGTTGGACATTGTGGAGAAAAGTCTTCTAGCCAAGAGCCTTGATTCCAACTCGAAAATGTCAAAAAAATGAAGTCATAAGAGATGAATGTGCAATGAAATTGTGGTAACGTTATAATGAATGTCCTATGGATATTTCAGCATCCTTGAAAGCTGATGAATTGAGGTATTTTCAACATTTGTGAAAAAGTGAAACAGTTATCTGTCGTTTTGTTTCTGTTTGTTTCGTTCATGTATTTTATAAATGATCAACAGAAATAAAATCCTGACACAAGAAAACACTAATTGGAATATATTTTTTCCGAGAAAAAAAAACACAAAAATTGAAAAAAAAACTGCTAGCACTATTTTTGTGAGATTAAAATATGAAACACGATACACTTACTGTTGCTTCTAATCATAGGAAATATTATTTTATGGTATCTAATTTGAAAGACATTTCTTCACCATGCTTTTACTTAATTCTCAGAATTACAATAAGGATCTATTGCATATATTATAATGAGACAGCGTTGATATCCGATCTGTGACACCGAGCGGGAGTGAGACGTTTCTGTGGGATTTGTCATGTATTTGAGTACAGTATATCATGTAACTCCTATAATTAAGTAGACATACATGTAATATTTCATTTTTACGTATATAGATGGTTAGCACATGATTCTGTTGAAGAAGATCTTACAGCTAAATATGGTTTATTGCCATGGGCACTTCAAACGAATGATGGTCGTCCATCAGTTGATTTAAAAAATGATTTTAAAAGATTTTTATCGAAAAAAAATGATCTTTGGACTCGTATGGGCTTTCGAGCTCGAGTTAAACAAGATGAATGTGATGAAGTAAAATAAAACAATTTTTTTTTTGAAACTTTCATTTAAAGTATTTGTTTGATTATAGATTATGCTTATACAACCAAATCATTGGATTTGGCAACGAGAACGATCAACTGATTATAATAAAAAGATGGCTTTATTAAATCGAAAACAAAAAAGTGATACATTAAATATAGAAAATAGTGGTTCATCACCTTTATCAATATCACCTATTGAAAATACAAAGTAAGTTAACATTAAAAATTTTCTTAATTTTTAATTGAATTTTATTTCCTAAAACTACAAACATTTGATTTTTTTTTTAAATTTTCTTTATTATTTCACCCTATTCGTATGTACAGATCAATCATGATTGTCGATAATATAAATCAAAATAATTTTTCTTGGACAAGTGACGATGAAATCGACGAGATGATCATATTGGATTAATTTATTTTGTTTTTCGTTTCTTTTCACAGGAAAAATATTCTTTATTTTTGTTTGTTATGTGTGATATATATTTAGGAACTATGTACATATATATATTTCTTTTGTTATTTATTTGAAAGGAAACAAGATGATATTTAGAATTAAATTTATATTAAATAAATAAGTAGAAACACATTTCTTTTTTTCTTATTTTATTTAGTTCATTGAATAATCATAATGGGCAATCTATTCCACTCAATATATCTATGGATAGAATGAATGATGAAGATTGTTGAAATTTATTTGTTCAATTATATTTTTTTTGTTTCTCTTTATATTTTATTTTTCGTGTATTATTTCAAATGTTCTGTTTTGTTTTTTTTTTAAGTTGAAAATATAAAAAAGTCAGATTTCAGTTTGCAAGTTTATTAGTAAAAGAATTAAAAAGAATCATTTTTGTTTGTATTAAATATGTTCGTTGAATAATATATGTGTTACTTTGTTTTCTTATTTTTATTTTGTTAATATATGCAATGTGTTTCAAATCCCGGGTGGAGTTTTAGTATGTTATTTTTAATCAGTTATAAAAATGCACTTGTGTAATATTTGTTCTGCTTATCCCTGGTGGATAAGATGTTTATTATTTTATGTTAAATAATAGAATATTAAAAATGTGATGATCGAAAAAAAACTGTTATGTATGTTTAATTAGTTTAAATGATGATATAGAAATTGTGTTTTAATGTTTAATTAATAAAACTTAGAAAAATACAAAGTGAAAAATTAATTTTTTTTGAAAATTAGTAAAATTTATTCGATTATCGAGTAGCAGAATTCATTGCATGATTAAATAGGTCATGGAGTTATTGCTGTTGAAATCTTATCAAACACTTTTTGATATATGAGAAAAGCAAATTCTTTTTTTAAGAAATAATCTTTTGTCGATATTAAATTTCTAACTCATATACTCAAATTTCAACACTCCTGTCTATCCGATTAATAAGAAAAAATTAGCTTGGAAAAATTCTTCTTAAAGACATAGAAACATAATTCAATAATAGTTCAAGAAGCTTGATATATATATATACAGAACACTATAAGAATTGTTATTCAACGGTTAAACATTGTATTTTATAACCTATATTGCTGTATTATAACTTTGAACAGTATTTGTGAAGTTTGTCCACACAAACAAAAACTTCATACTGATATCTATTATCGGAAAAAAATTGGTTGATTAACTTTGATAAATAGTGGAATTCTATTAATTTACTTTTGGCCCGGACTTTTAGAACACCCTGTGTAAGGATAATTTAATTGGACTTCTGTCATTTGTCGCATATATGAAATAAATCATTTAAACAGATTTCACTAAGGATTTAAGTCTGAATCAATTTATGCTACTGTAATAAAGTATTACGATGGTTTAAGATTAATCATGGCGATTTTTCAATATGCCACAAAAACCTATCGAATTCAACTATATTTGTTATATAAGATTTCTACTGGCGCCAAGAAATTACAATAGTATGCTTTATCCTATGACTTTTCTGACAAGTTATAATGTATGTAAAGATATGATGAATCGATAAGGAATAAATAATCGTTGTAAACTTGAGTGAAAGTATATAGACCATTCTCGATAAGAAAATACTCGTGATTGAAAGTACTATGCTGTAATTTTCTGAACCAGAAAGTTTCTGAATTTTCACATTGACGTCCGATCAATTGTTAGACGTACCCACAATAAAAAAATTTTTCCCATTTTTCAATTGCTAATTGAATAAAATCAGCCTTTCTTTTCGTTAAGATAAATAGATTAATCATAGAAAAATTGTCTATTGACTAGAAATTGAATAATACCATATGTAATTCATTGATAATTACATATTGTTGTCAGACAATAACAAGACATTTATGGCTAAATTACCATATATTAAAACTTGATTGTTGTGATCATTTATTCACATTCATAAAATGTACAAGTACAAATTTATAGATCCATTCTAGCAACAATAGACATATTTATTTTCATCGATAATTTCTTTTCAGATCTTCATTGCTTTGAAATGATTGATACTATTCGAAGTATGCATTTTTAACAACTAAATCATACATTACCTTCAGTATTCAATGACTTGAATGAATCATTTAGTAATATTGAACCACAAGATATATCACATGATACACTGCACTGATGATACAAATGCGAAATAGAAACTTATAAAGAAACTTTTCTAAATTGAAAGTTGCTATTGAACTCGAGCTCTATACATAACGTAGATTCCAACGAGGTGTTAAAGCACCCTAAAGAAGAAGGACTTAGGTTCTTCTCTACTGAGTTATAACTGTTTTGCTGAAATTTTAGCTTATAGTGAAGCATATACAAAAGAATTAAATGATAATATTATGACCTGATATTTTGCTCATAGCTAACTGCATTTGTAGTTAGAATATTCTGAAACTTTAAGTTCAAAAGAATGTACTCAGCACGAGATAATGAATTTCTAAAAAACATAAGGTTTCCGGATCATTCATGAAATATGAGTGACTTTTGAAAATACAATATCTTGTGCAGAGAATATTCTTTTGAACTAAAAGTGTTAGAACTCTCTAATTACAAGTCGACCTCTCTATGAGTAAAATGTCGGGTCAAAATGTCGTCATTTGAATCCTTTTATGGAAACTGTGCTATAGTCCTGTAGAAAAGGCTTCGAGACCCTTATCCTTTTCGAAGTTTTGAATACATCATTATGATCTACTTTATGTATAGAGCTCAAACTCAAAAACGATGTTCAAGTTGTGATAGTTTCCTCATTAGTATTAGTTAATTTAGATCCAAATGCCGATAGAAGTGATCTTTCTTCACATATTTTGGAAAGCCTATGTTCGAGAAAAAAAAATACACATAAATATACATTTATGACATGTATAAGAAAACAAGCTTACATTCAGATAAAAAAATTATATCAAAAATATATGAATATAATCACAAATATCTAAGTTATCACCAAATAGTAATAGTATTGATTATCATTGAATATGTGAAGTATTTTATCTTGATATAATATGAAATGTATTGTATAACTTATAAAATGCTCTCTATGAAAATTTACCTGTTATAATTATAAATAATTATGAAATATTCAAGAAAACATTTTTATATGAGAAATGAAATATCGAAAAAACAAATTATTACAACAAGACGTATATCAAAAATCAAAAATTACACAATGCTTACTGATGTTGTTTAATATTAAATAAATCAAGACATGAAAATACGAAAAAAAATTTCAGTCTAAAAAACAATGTTAGAATGAAGAAAATAAAAATAATTTAAAACATTCCTAATCGTTTCAAACCATATAAAAAAAAAGCATAATAAAAAAAAGATTCAAATTAAATAAAACTATTTTTAAGTTTTGTATTCATCTTCATCGACATAGTCTAATTTTTCGCCAAGTTGAGTTTCATAATGTTTTGCTAAATCAACATTTGTTTCAGTCATTTCAATATCAGCAGCTGGTGGAACAAGATGAGAAACCGATGAACATGACCATATTGTATAAATGAGTGATGCAGTAAATACAGATAAAACCGATAAACATATATGATAACCAAATTGTGTCATTCGAGGTAAACAAATAATAAGTGTATAACGAAGTAAATCAAAAAGTTGATTAAGTGAATGTTGTGTACCACCAATACGACCACGAATTTTTTCTGGAACACGTTCTTGTTGTAATTGACTTACTGTTAAATCAGCAATCCATAAACCTAATCAAAACAATCAAAAATTCAGATAATATTTTATTTCAAGAAAATTTACCAAATCTATTCAGAGTTATACCAATAACAAGTAAAAGTACAGATAATTTCGAATTGGAGCATTGATCTGGTATTAAATCTATTGTACTAGTATTATTATTATTATGTGATGTTCCATAATAATGACATGAACCAATTGATAAATGTCGAAATGGAGTGAATGATGTTCCAGGAACAAATAATGATGTTAAGCAAAGAATTAACATTGAAAATTCCGACCAAAAACCAATAATACCAGTACGTACAAGACCTGTACGTTTAACAAAAAATGGATAGGCAATGGTGCCAATAACACCAAGAATCGATCCTAAGCCATTTAATAAGCCCAAAAGAGCTTCTGATAGACCTTGTTCAATCACATAGGCTAAAGAATAAATTTAATCGTACTGTATATATATACATATATTTTGTATATATTAAATTTCAACTTCTAGTAAATCTTTACCTCGTGTAACAGAATCAAAACTTAAAACAGTCATATAAAGTAATGCAAGTGAAAGTCCAGGTAAAAATACTGATAAAGATGCATATGTTCCTAGACCTTTTATAGATCCTAAGAACCTGAATAAAATTTAAAAAAAACTCAAAATTAAATAAAATTTTACTCTTCCATTGGACATCTTTACTTTCTTATTGGTCCTTCTTTCTTTTCAGGTGATTCTAAATAAGAAAAATAGACAAAATACAAATTTATCACATAGTATAAAATTCTTTTTTTTTTAATTTACTTTCATGAGATTTATTAGTCGATACTTTATTAGCTAATATATCTTCAGCTAAATGATAAACTCTTGTATATAAGAAAAGTTCAAGACAAAGTGAAATAACATTCCAACCAGAAATTAATACAGCACTAAACCATCGTGATGTAAATGCCATAACAGCACCTGTTAAAATCGGTGCTAATACACCACTAAGAAGATCAATTCGGCGAAGCGTTGCATTAGTGTCTATTCTAATTAGAAATTACTTGAGACACAAAATAATGGGTGATCGGAAAGATTTTAGATAAAATTTCTGTTTACATTTGACTCGCTAGAAAGTATCAAAAGCTATGAGTTAGGAGTAAAATTTTGTGCTCTTTTCGAATATATGCTTAGCATCTTGTGGTATCAATTTTTTGTTCGAAAGTAGTAAAATAATCTTTGAAAAGTTCAAAAAGTTGGTTTGGACAAAAAATTTGTGTATTTTTTCTATTGCAATTCGAAATTAAAAGTTAAGGTCTTTATTTATAGATCGGCTAGCAGATCAGCGGCTACTCTATAAAATTCATTATTTGAAATTTTACTTGCTTTTCGATAAGGCATACGCATTTTAGTATTTCCTAAATACTCGTTTTTGACAAATCCACAACAATTCTACGTTGAAAGAAGCTTTAAAAAAAATTCTTGTATCTTTACTTAAGTAAAAGCTACAGCTTAGTTTAATTCTAAAATCAGTAGAGTTATGTCTGCTCTAAAAAGTGATCAACTTCGACAATTTTCAACATGTTCAAGGAACAGAACTTGAACAAAATCTGTTGACTCACCATTTTAAATAATTTTCCAACGCTTTCAAACAAATTCCTCACTACTATTGAACAAAAATCGACTGAACATTTCTGAATCTATATTCAAATTCTAGTCGCGACCTATACTTATTGATTCATCTTAAATACTTTTAAGCAAGCTAAAATGAATACACATATTCACCGAAAACGTTTTCCTACAAGTTGCATCAAAACTAATATTTTAGGTTTTTCAAAGATTATTTCACTGTCATCAAGGAAAAAAGTTGAGACAAAGTTTCTAACAAGAAAAGCAACTAAGAGGGTACCTCGTGTTTGAAATGAAAATTCATTCATTACGTAAGATTTATGGAGACTGGAATAAACTTAGAAAGATTCTTCTCTATGTGCAGACCTTTTGGTGCCAAGGTCATTACACTGCATATGAATTTCGACCTAAAGCTTTATCCATAGACAACTCTTGAAGTTATTAAAATCTTCTAGAGTTTTTGTCCGAAAAGATTGATTTAATGTCGAGATATAGAATCTACAGAATACTAGACTCTCCATCCGTTTGGTAGAATGTCATGACTTTTTGTGAGTTTGATAGTTAGAGTAGAAAGCATTGCTTTTGGCTGAAATTTTCAGGGCAAAATTCTTTTGTCTGTTTTTTTTTCAAAATACCATGCTAAAGGTAAAAAATTCAATGTAATGGACATAGCTTCAAAAGGATAGCGTATGGAGAAGAATCCTTCTATGTTTCTTCTAGACTTAACGGGTTCTACATAATGATTTGGGTTTCATCTCAAACGCAGAGTATCACATTGAGTGATTCTCTTGTAAGCTCATATTCACATATAGCACAAAATTCTTTTCCTCATTCATAGCTTTTGAATTATCGAAAATACGGTCTAGCCGGTCAAAAATGAACAAACGTCTTTTCTAAATTTTTTTCCGATTACTCGTTAAGACAATGAAAAAAAACTTTACTAGCTAAATTTTGTCGATCAGAGCCATATAATGCAACAACCCAATCTTTTGATATTGATACTTTACATGCTACACTAGATAATGTTGCTATCATACCAATTCCAATTAAAAAACCTAACATATTCAAATAAATATTTTAGATAATAAGAACAAACAATTAAAAACAACCTTGAATTATGATCATCCAATATGATGGAAGAGAAGATTGATTATATAAAGCAATAACAACTAATACAGCCATAACAGCAACAGATAAATTTTGAAAATATAATGATTTTTTAAGTGCTTAAGAAAAATCAGATAAATTTTGTTTTTCTTAAAGAAAACATGAATATTGTTTACCTGATAAACGAGGACTACGATCAATCCAATCACCAATAGCTGTACCAAAGAAAATAACAGCTAAATTGAGTGCAATACCATTCAGAGCTACACTTTGAAGATTAGTTGGATTGAGAGAAATAAAATAAATACCAACAGCAAAATTCCACATACGATCACCCTATACAAACAAATAATTGATTACTCTTCACAAGATATTGAAGAACACAAAATTCTACTACAGTAAAGATAGATACTTACCCAAGCTGATAGAGCCATTGCAGTATACAGTAATATTTTTGTTTTGTCTAAATATAATTTGTATTTAATTACAAAATAAAAATTAATCGAATTGACTACCATATTTTGATTTATTGGCTTCGTTGGCATCGGTAGGAGTTTCGTCTAACGATATTTCTGTCATAGTTTTCTACAACGTACACACGTATGAATAATAAAATACTATGTTTTCAGTGCGAGATAGAACATGCAAAAATGGTTTTTCTTTTTACTTAAAGAGTCACTTGTGGTTGCTGATAAGCCATCAGGTATATAGTGCATATAGCGTTATATATTTATTTTACTTCGAAAAAAAATTATTGTTCTCTTTTTTTCTTTTCTTTTGTTACACAAGACAATACAATCACAATAAAAAGATGAGCCCGTTATCTAAAAGGACATATGACAATGACAAAATGTTATTTTTTTTAACGTTATAGTTGAACAGGATAATGTTTCATAATCATTCATTTGAACGATAAATTCAGATAGATTATTATTCATTATGAATTTTATTATTATTATTATTAATATTTTCATCTTCGGTGTATACAAAAACTCGGACATCATCTTCAATACTTCGTTGTCGAAGAAAGATTGTGAACATACGTGCAAATGCAGATAGAATCGGTTCATCATTATAACGAACTAAATCAGGAAATGCTTTACGAAAATGCATTGTTGCTTCTTCTATTAAACAAAACGAAAAAGCTTTATGAAAGTCAATACCATAATAAGTTCATACCTAAATGATAATGCGGTACTTTAGTAAAAAGATGATGAATTTGATGTGTACCAATAGAATGTATTACTGAGTGTGCACAGCCATAATGACGATCGACAGTTGATAATTGTCCTTTAACATTATTCCATTCAGAATCAGCATACCAGGGTACATCACTAGAAACAATTGATTGAAAGATTTTTTTGTAAAAGAATTGTTTTAAATGAAAATTTTCGAATTCATGAAAGAAAACTTGACAATAGTTTCATTCAGTATACTTTAAGAAGAGTTTCACTAAGTACTTGCTCACTTATTAAGGATATTTTTAGTTTTATTTTTCAAGTATAAATATACATGACCATAATTAAAATGTAACGAGAGAATCCTTCCAACTATAAAATCTTTTTTCGACCAAGACGATTTTCATTTAATATATGCTAATGAATAATAGAAAAGATTGACATGGCTTGGTTTTCTAGGCCTTCCTTCTTGAGGTACCGAAATTTTACTATGTTTTTCAACAAAAAACTGTGGTTTATCTCAGATCATGTGGAAAATTGATTTTAGAGCTTCAACTTCAAGCTTTGCATGAATAAATCTCTCAATGAGATAAGAAAATTGGACAAGTTGTAAATTTTCTAGAATTTCGTTTCCTGAGATATTCTGCATTCAAAATTCTCTCATGTCTTAAAGCAAATTTTGTTCATATATTTGCATCTTCAGAAATCAAATACTAGAAAAGTTAAAAGTTGCACAATCAACTATTCTAATTAAGAACTTAGTTCATGCAGCATAAGAAGTCGAAACTTGAAAATCGATTTTTCATTTGATCACAGTTTTTTGTTAAAAGATCTAGAAAAGCTTTCATATTTCGAGAACGAAGACTCGGAAAACCAAACAATCCTAGACTTTTCTATTACTCATCAAATGAATATCGTTTCGGTCAAAAACCAATTTGGCAAACAGAGAGGTTTCCTCGTAAGATCATAGTTCAATGTTTTATTATTTCTGTATGAATCTTCAGAGCAGGGAATTCAAAACAAATGTTGCATTTGCTAATTGAAGAAATAGAACAAAGACAATTTTTATTATCATTGAGATGAAAATCGAAATCAGAAGAGAAGATATCATTTGAATCCGAAAAAAAACTTCATTCCACACTTCGGTACCCAAAACACCAATGTTCACCCTTGATATCAGTTGTGCAAATACCGATAACTATGACTGTACTTCTAATAAATGATACACATCGAAATATTAGTCTTACGAAAGAACATCTCTAATTGATACCCTTTAAGCGAGCACATATTTTCGTCTTAAGGTAAGACTCATAGTGTAGGTAAAAGTCTTGAAAAGACTCTTTCTATTTGGTATTTCTTCTCGGGTAATAGTTATTATAGTAAATCTTTAGCCTAGTTGCGGATATTACGAAAAAAATCGTAACAAGAAATTTTTACTAACGACAGACCTTATGTTTCCAACAATATTATTAAAGTTTCAGTAGAAATGAGTTTTTGTCTTTTCCACATAATATTTTTGAAAAAACCATTAATTTCTAATAAATACCTTGGAAAAAGTCCGTTTTTTCAGCACTCAATATTTTAGAAAACAATTATCGGTTTGACACAAAATTTTCAAGCTAAAATTTCTTATTAAGATTATTTTTCATAATCTTCTTCGATAGGCTGCAAATTCAATAAAACAGCCATAACTCGAGAAGAAAAGCCTGGTGGTACGAACCCCTTCAAGGCATTTTATATGAGTTCAAATAGAAGGTATCACTTGGAAGGATTTTATCGTTAGTTCTATTCTCTATAAAATTTTCAATATGATACATTACATTTCTGTATGATGTAACATCGTTATAATAACCATGTAACATGCAAAAATAAATACTGGTATTAAATGATAAACAAGTAAATTAATAAAACCAAATGAACTTGCGTAAAGATACATTAAATAACACTAAGAGAAAGAAAAATATACAAATAAAAAAGAGCTTTCTATTTTTTTTTAATATATACCATTCCTAAATATGCACCAAGTGAAGAACAAACACCGAAGAAATGTCGATTATAGAATAGCGGTTCAAACTTAAATAATAGAAGAACAGTATTTCTTCTTGGTTTTAGAAAAGAAGTTAAACTTATTTACCGGATTAAAATGATTTACTGTTCTTGGTGAATAACCATTTATTAAGTAATAAAACCAACCAATACCAGGAAACCAAAAGAGAATATCATCCAATAATGATGGTTCATAATATAAGCCACGTTGTGGATAAAATATTTCATCTTTCTCAATATTACATGTATTTTTATGATGTTTATTATGAGTAAGCTAAATCAAAGATATTAATTCAAATGCTATAAAACCAATATGAATTCTTTTGATGCGTGTCCTAGAATAAATTGTACTAAATCTTGATGCCTTTTTCTCTAGTTTTATCAACATAAAAATTTTTCTTTAAACGTCAACAGATATAGAATTTCAAACTGTACAAAATTGTTGACGTTGGTTTTCAAACAAAATTAACTTTTCTGGCATAAAATTTAAAATATTCAAGTCTACTCAATCATTCAAATGGAATTTCTTATTCTCTGTTGATACCTATTGATTTTTTTAAAGCCATTGATTGTCAAAGTCGATATCAAATGTAAATTTTATAATAACAATGGGTAGAAAATTTTGTGCTCTATATCTTCACAATCTTTACAAGGTTTCTGAAACGTGTATTTATGAGAAAAAAACTTGAAACTAACAGCTGTTGATAATTTTGAGTACACTTTGAATTTCATGTTTTCAAATGACAGAGTTTCTCTGTGAAAGGTTTATTATTTTGCTATCGGATGTAGAATTTCATTGTGAACAAAAATGTAGAAAGATTAAATTGAACAGAGAAAATATTTCGGCTATTTTGAATTTAAAAGAAAAAAAGAATATCATAGATCTAATAGAAAAGGACTCTTATCGTACTTTTCACAACTTTTACTTGAAAAATAATTGCTCTTTAATATTTCTTCGAAAATTTTGAAACAACTGTTCGAACATGCATAGTTTTATGGAAAATTTTGTGACATAGTTAAAATTTTCATGGGGTCTTCATGAAAAAATTATCATTGATTTTTTGTTTTCTTGATGGTCGCAATCGGACGATTATCGAGCAAACTTCTTTAGCTGCTCCTTCCTATTTCTATGATTTTTTGTCTATAGATTAAAAAAGTTTAGAGGTTTCTAACAAACGCTCTTAGAGATATGAAGTTTTCAAAAAATGTGTGTTGAAAACATTATGCATCAGAAAGCGTCTATATCTTAAAAGTCTCACATCTCACATTGCCTTTGTTTAAAACTTCTGAATTTTATTATAACGAAGTTAATCTACTTGAGTTCTTTATATGCGCAAAGTTTCAGATGAAAATTGGAAAAAGCGAGTCTTCCAAAGATCGGAGGCCTCTAGAAAATATGCCTATTTAAAGTTCAATAGTTTGGTCAACTTTTAATAGGACCGCAAATCCTTTTACAGTGTTTATTATAACAGTATATAGTATCGATAGGCAACCGTCTTTGAAATCGGAAGGAGTTAACTGAAAAGATTCCTTCATAAGTAGGTGTTCTTCTTCTAAAGTTTGTACTAACAAGAAAAAATTGCTTGAGAAACAAAGGCAACAGTGCTTTTATGATTGAGAAGCGAGAGAAAAATATACTAAGAGTTAAAACAATTTCTTCTAAGATACCAGTTATATTACCTTCCAGGTATAGTATGGTGCTAATATCCAAGTATGTAGGAGAGTTCCTAAATAGAATATAATTTATATTTTATAGATAATTTTATATTTAATTGTTAATTACCCATAATATCATTCAATAATTGATACGAACTAAAACTTCCATGTCCACAATCATGTCCAAGTACAAAAAGTGATGTATAAAGAGTACCTAAGAATAAATCAAATAATAATAAATATTTGATTTTAAATGAAAAAACAACTAAACCTTGTATACACCAATAAATAGGAAAAAATAAAAAACCATATTTAAATAGAGTGTGAATTTGATACATGATAATAAATGTTAACGTAACGTAAATAATATCTTTAGCAACATAGCTCATTGATTGACGTACTGTTGGGCGAAAACAATGAGATGGTAATTTAAGTTTTATGTCAGATAATGTTGGTAATCGATGAGGTGGTGTTGATAATGATGTTAAGTCTGATTGTTGATCTTTATTTTTTTCAATATGTGTATTATGTCCGCCTTTTCCCATATTTGTTTGAGTTGAAACTATATCTTAAAAAACTGTAAAATGACACAGTGATTTTTTTCTTGCCCTTATAAACACAATATCACCTGACGTACTATGCACTTAAATGAACTTATTTTTATACTTTCTAGATTAATAGTATCAACACCTATAATACAGAAGTATGTTATGTTGAAGTTTTTTTTATTTATTTATTATGATTTAACTTTATTACATAGACACTCATCTCAAAAAAATGAGATGACCTTGTAATAAAAGTCCTGCATCAATCGGCGTTGATTGATAACATACAAAGATGTCGCTTAATACCATTAAATTTTAGTGAGGTGCATGCGTTGTCGTCGTGAAATGATACGATCGTTATTTCGATTAGACGCACTCAGGTTTTTGTAGGGTTGTTAAAAGTTGTTTTCTCATTTTGTGTCGTTTAACACAATATATAATATCAACAAAGCATGGCACCTAACAAAAAGGATCCCATTAAAGGTAACTATAACTGTAAGAAACAAAAAAATTTTTTTTAATTAAAAATATTTTCTTTTAGTACGACAAATTTCATCTGCTAATCAAGATGCAATTTCATCTGTATTTAATCGTTATGCTCGTCATGAACATCTTGGTGAACGTTATATGACACCACATGAATTTTTACAAGATTATTTAGGTTATTTAAAAGGTGACAATATCGATCCAACAACACTTGATATACTTGCTTCATTAGTTGATATGAATAAGAATCAAAGTTCGTTGTTAAAAAAATTTAAAGAAACATTGATAAATGGATTTTTTTTTCTTGTTCTTTAATAGGAATAACAATAGATGAATTTATTAATTTTGAATCATTATTATTAGAATCAGATTCATTATATCGTCTTGCTTTTCAATTATTTGATCGTCGTGGACAAGGTTTTATAACATTTGATGATTTTCAACATATAATATCAGCAACAAAACAATTTAAAGAATTTCCATTTAATTTTGATTCGGATTTTGTTCGAATGCATTTTGGTGTTAAACGACAACGACAAATAACATATAAAGAATTTACACAAATATTACTTGGTAGGAAAAACACACCACATAAATTGTAATTTTATTTTTAGTAAAATAAAATACTTATTTTAGATTTTATTGATGAACAAACAATTCAAACATTTCGTAAACTTGATAAAACAAATGATGGTTATATATCATTAAAAAATTTTGAAATTATACTTAAAGAATTACGACAATATCAATTATCAGATTTTATTTCAACACATTTACCTGATATTGTTAAATTATCATCATCGACAATGATATCAAATAGAATATCATATCCATATTTTACAGCATTTTTACAATTATTATCAAATATTGAATCAATGAGAAAAATTTATTTAGCTGTATGTGAAAAAAAAGCATATATATATAAATCATCACATATAACAAAAGAAGAATTTTTAACTGAAGCACAACATTTTCCACGTACAACACCATTACAAATAGATATTTTATTTGCTATAACACATGTATTACATCAAAATACTGTAAGTAAAGATATTAAAACTGAATATATTGAATTAAATGATATTGATACAATATCGGCACATGAACATTTATTACCATATCGATTACGATCAGAAATTGTTGATGAACATTATAAAATTGAACATCAAAGTATTTTAATGAAAATTCTTGAAAGTGGTTATCGATTTACACTTGGTAAAAAAAAATATTTATAATAAAATTTATTAATAAATAAAAATTTGATGTAGGTAGTATTGCTGGTGCTGTTGGTGCTACGGCTGTTTATCCTATTGATCTTGGTACGAACATTTGTTGATATTAAAAAAAAAAAAAATAAATCAATTGAATTTTTATTTCTTAAGTAAAAACTCGTATGCAAAATCAACGATCTACAAGTATTGTTGGTGAACGTCTTTATCGCAATTCTTTTGATTGTTTTAAAAAAGTTATTCGACATGAAGGTGTATTTGGTTTATATCGAGGTAAAAAAAAATGAAGAAGATTTGAGAAAAATTCAAACAATAATATGTCATTTTAGGTTTAATTCCCCAACTAGTTGGTGTCGCGCCTGAAAAGGCTATTAAATTAACTGTGAATGATTTTATTCGTGATAGATTAACATTAGCTGATGGTACCATTCCACTTTGGGCTGAGATTCTTGCTGGTGGATGTGCTGGTGCATCTCAAGTACTGAAATTTCTTTTAGTCTTTTTTTTTTGTTCTTATTAACATTTTTAAATTTAGGTAACATTTACGAATCCATTAGAAATAGTAAAAATTCGTTTACAAGTTGCTGGCGAAATTCAATCTGTTCGTCGTCCAGCAGCAAGTGAAGTTGTACGTGAACTTGGTTTTCGTGGTTTATATAAAGGTGCTCGTGCATGTTTTCTTCGTGACATTCCATTTTCAGCTATTTATTTTCCTGCATATGCTCATACAAAGAAACATTTTGCTGATGAACATGGTTATAATGATCCAAAAAGTTTATTTTTTTCTGGTCTTCTTGCTGGTATACCGGCTGCTGGCCTATGTACACCAGCTGATGTTGTTAAAACACGTTTACAAGTTCAAGCAAGAAAAGGACAAACAAAATATAATGGTTTGATAGATGCATTTAAAAAAATTTATATTGAAGAAGGATGGACAGCTTTTTGGAAAGGTAATTCTAGAATTGAAATAAAATAATTCTTTTTCTTTTTTTTTTAATTTGTTTAATATTTATATAAAATTTAGGTGCTGGTGCACGTATGCTTCGTTCATCACCACAATTTGGTTTTACATTACTCACATATGAACTTCTTCAACGTGCATTAAATTTTGATTTTCAAGGTAGAAAATTAGAAGGCTCAAAACATGTTGATCAAGAACAATATTCACCTAAATCACGAGCATCAATTATATTTTCAAGTAATCCCGATCATATAGGTGGATTTCATTTAGCTCAAGCAACATTTGAAGGTTAAAATTTTATGCTTATATTATTGACAAAAAAAAAAGGATTTTTTTCGCTTTCTTAGGCATTGAAACACGTTTTGGTTTGACTTTTCCAAAATATAAAACATCAACATCGAATGGATCATCATCAACAGTTCCTCCATTGACTAAACTACTTGGTGTTACTCCAGAAGTTAAAACAACAAATTAATAAAAGAAACAAAACAAATAGTCCTCTGATTTTTTAACAAAACTAAAAAACTAGATTAGACTGTAATTGTTTTTCTTTTTACTTTTTTTTTGTTTTACTTTTAAAATGGTTTAGGATTTGTTGGCAATGTTATTATTTGTAATTCTTGTTGTTTGTTCTTTTTTTTTGCATCTGTTTAAATGGGATGGTTATTTTTATTGTGCATTGAGAATGAGCAAACTATATTATTTGTTAAATCAAAAAGAGATTAAAAAAACACAACATGTGATTCTATAATAATGTTCATTTATTTTATAATTTCATCTTTTAATTTTTCTATCGTTGAACTATCATCGTAGGTGTTGTCAAGAGGACAAGTTATTGTTTTTTTAGTCCATTCTTATTTTATAAGGAAAAAACAATCATACATATATGAATATATTTATAATGATGTGGAATGCAAAAGTCTTTAGAGAAATATCGATACTTACTTCTGAACAGTCAAACATCGAATTGATTTGAGTTTTGTTGTTGTTGACAAGAGGATAGTCCGACAAATGAAACACACCTGTCTTGTTCAAATTTTTTACTTTGGTTTTATTATGATAAAAGTCAAAGACTGAGCAATTCTCAAAATATCTTTTGCAACTTAATCTTTTGATGTTTACAGTTGCTAACTTGGTGACTTCACCTCTTTCAAACTTTGAGTTAAACTAATCATGAATAAAACTTCTCAATCTTTAATATTTTATCTATTTGGAAATTTGTTTTGCTTACAATATCGATTCGAATACTCTTTTCTTAATGTTCCTTTCGCTAGAATATTGATTTGATAAAAATTATAAAATGGAAAAAAAGATAGTGAATCCGAAAAAGCTCTGAGAAGCAAATAGAAATTTTTCAAAATTAATTTTTTTGATATAGTCTTTTTAGCTGTATCTGACAGTATATTTTGATCACAGCTCGTCAATATAAAGCTCATAATAATTGCCAGTTTATTGTTTTCAGTTGTTGCAAGGGCGTTTTCAGATTAATAGAAAAAATGCTCTCGAACAGAAATAGATGAATAATTTCTTGCCTCATGTATATCCCCCTCGAAATTTTTCTATTTCAAGCCAAAAAATTTGAAATCAGTTTGCTGCTGTATTGTTGAGAAATAAATCTCAATATTTTTGTCAAAGACTTTTACATAGTATATTAAATATATGTACAACTATGTTTGATTTCGTAAGTATAAATGTTTTTAAAAAGGTGAAATAAACTAATTGTTGTCTGTTTATACAATAACAATATGTTATTAAAATTTTGTAACACCTATTTTCATAAAATAGTTCCATATGTAATCTTCATAACTATTATTTTAGCCAACGATAAATTTTAGTGGCATGCTACCTACAGAATTTGAAAATTAGACTTACAATTATTGTTAAGCTTACATGAGTCACTGAATTTGATTTACCGCATGTAATTCATGAGTTGTTGATAGACATTTCGTTTTCAAGAAGTTGAACCATAAGATTTAAATGATGCCATGTACCATATAATCAGAAACCATAATATATGAATTGTTAATTTCTCTACCATTCATTGTTATTTACAGTATCATTTGTCACTTTTCTTCGGAATATCAATCAAATATATGAAGGCATATCGATGAGGAATATACTACGTGCTAGTCTGATTTTGATTTGAAATTGAACTTGAAAAAATTAAAATTGACTTATTAATTTAGGTTAATAGGTGCAAAAATTAATAATAACTAATTCCAATTCTTGGGCAAGGTACATTCCAAAACGATTAAACATGAAGTTCATATCAACTAATGTTTATTTTGTCTGACTTAACCGAAAAAGAATACGTTTTTCCGCGTACGACAGAAATCATTTGTTTTTCTGAGAATAAGAAGGTTCGAAGATTGTAGCAACATTCATTTGCTAAATAAAACTATTGTTTTTCTAGCATAATTAGTGAAAACTTTAATGAGTTGCAATGAGCTTATGGCTCTCTAAGTACATAAAATTCTACATCTTCGTATCTGAACATTGATTCTTAGAATATGAAGTTATAAGACGTTTAAAAGCAATGAAGAGAATACTGAACTAAGTTAGCTCAGTTGATTGTATATAGTGATTGATATTTTGGAAAAGAAACGACTAAAAATATTGTATACATATGGTTTATTTAGTTTATTGCAGCTTATATTAAAAAAAACCTAAAGTGACATTCTTGTCAAATATTTATTTAAATACTAATTTTAATTTTTTATTAATGAGATAAAAATTGCTTCCAATTAACTGTACTTTTCGCACTCCAACATCGCTTTGTTCGTTGATGCAGGCTTTTTTTATTTCGATGTCTTGATTTATTTAATATTAAACGACGCCAGTAAGCATTACGTAGTTTTTCATATTGATATACATTATTTTTTGATAATTTCTTTTTCGATATTTCATTTAATTTCTCATATAAAAATTTTTCATTCAATTCTTCATAACCATTTATAATTAAAACAGGCAAATTTTCATAGAGAACATTTAATGAATTATTCCATACAATTGGTATTATATCAAGATAAAGTGCTTCCCATGTTCGATGACAATCAATACCATTACCACGTGGTGATAACCAAAATGGATATTGACGATTACGTTCATATAGTTTTGGTAACTCTTCTATTTGAACACCGCCTGGCTTACCAATACATTTTATAAATGTATAGTTAGCTCGATTTTTACTTGTACACATGCTCTTCCAAATACGTGAACGAAGACCACTTTTATCAGTACCTTTATCAAAATTAATTAATACTAAATTTTCTTTTTCTATTTTTGTAGTTAATGCACGATGTGATACATCTTGTGGTTGAATATAACTGGATGGTTCATCAAACTCATTGAATATTGAAGGAATTGTATGATTTTGTTGTTGCGAATATACATTTTGAATAGCATCAGCCATTTCATAACAATTAATGCCTGAAAAAAAAATCATCGATAAAAATAAATTTTCCTATTGTTCTAATAGTAGTTCGATTAATTTGCTCTTGTACATATTATGAATGTGAAGAAATGATTATAGTGCAGACAATATTATTCAATTTCAAGTCAATAGACAATCTTTCTATGACTAGTCTATTTATCTTAACAAAAACAAAATACTCATGTCAATAGATTACCAATTGGTATATGAGTAAATTTTTTACTTCTTGATACATCATATTGTCCATTTTGTCCAAACCAATGAATTATTTTTGAATTAGAACTTTCGAGAATTTCCATGTGAATTGGTGATGACAAATCACCTTCACCAGTAACTAGTACAAATTTATTTTGTAAATGAGGATAAACTTGATCGAAGAATTCATTTATTACCCATATACGAACATAAATTATACTACCAGGTGGTAGGCAAGGAGCAATTTTTATTCCTTGATTAGTTGTTTGTTTTAAATGTTCACGAAATTGATTAGGCCAACCGTATACCCAATCAGCAAGATTTCGAAAATTTTGTGGACAAACAAAGTCTGGAAAATGTCGAATAAAATGTGTTGAATCGAATTGTAATGTATCATTGCTTAATATACTTGAATAAGGACATAGTTGAGAACAATTTTTTGATTGACTTGGATAAAATGGTGATAATTTGTAGACATATTTTAAAATTAATAAAAAGAATATAAAAAGAATAATAATAAAACAACATAAACGATTCGATCGTTTTTTAATTCTTCTATTAGAAAACATTATGTATTTTATATTTTCTAAGATATTGCTATTTATTTATAAAGAAATAATCTGAAAAGAAAGCAAAACTTGAAATCTTATAGTTCTAAGACGAATTTCTTCAATAAAATCGTAGACAATTATTCATACTTTTGAATTATTTTGCCATATTAGACAAATAATAAAAAAACAATACTTGTAAAATCACGTTTAGATGTTATCAAAAATAAAATCATTCAAAAGTGCACTTTTTACAATTTCATTCATGAAATTCAATGTGTTTGATTTTGGAGTCAATTGCATCTACACTGGGAACAATCAATTCAAAATCGAACGTGTTTAGTAACATGTGATGATATATAATAAAAGTTATTATTTTTACCTTTAAGAGTCTCATGTAACTATTGTATGTTCTATGAAAATAACATTTATTAAGATTGTTTCATAAAATTTGGGTTATTTTGAGTTCATTTCTTTATATTTTTCGATTATATAGAGTAAGACGAAGATTAAAAAAAATTATACATCTGTAACATCTGAACTATCATTCAAAATTGACTATACTCAATTGATGTCATTATCAAGAAAGTGTGAAATTAAAAAACATGCTAAAGTATATTTATCAAATTTATTCTCTACTCTTTGTTATGTTGGGACGAGAGAAATATCCATCGCACAATCACTGTGAGTTACATTTATGATTTTGTTCTTACGAAGTCTAATGTTAACATAGGTTTAGACGTAGATTTTTTTACATGACTAAGATAAAAATATAATCAAAAAAATTGAGAATATTATATTAACATTTTTATTAATAACATACTCTCTTAATAAGGATGTCAGTTGAGTACAACAAATTTTGAATGATAACTTAAATGTTACTTTGAAACATGTATCTTCTTTCTGTTCAACTTTCCATGTTCGAAAGCTATAAAACAATTAAAAATAACATGAAACGTAGGAAATACCATATATGCATGTCAGTGTCCAATCTAGAATTCGCCAGTTATGTCGAGTTTGAGAATTGAATTCAAATGTTGAAGAACTTTTCAGATATTTAACTATTCTGTTTTCATGGTACTCACATCGAGTGAGACGTGTGTCTATTTTCGTGCCACTCAATTACTGAATAGTTATAACAATGTTCACTTCAATTATTGCATAACTCAATAGTTGAATTCGACTGCCAGGTTTGATATGTATGTGAATCTCTTGAAAATTTTAGGTGAATCTCAGATACGCATAGGTCAATGGCGTATTAAAAGGCTAATATGGATAATCTTGAATTTTGGCTAGACCAATTTTGAATTCAAGACTAAATATATTATTTTGCATCTGAAGATGTTGGTATAATCCAAAGAATGTATTCAATAAAAGCTGAAAATAGAAAAATGTGAATACAATCGAATTGTCGTTCAACCTAAAGCAAGCTGTAAAAAAATAAACAAGTTAATTTAAATTAGTGTCCTACAACCGGATCGTATCGATTACCAGATATGAAAAATATTGTCCGGTTGGATTCTGATTTGAGATTATAATCGGACCCAAACCTGCAGCTAATCAAATCTTAATGTTTTAAAGAATTTTGACTTTTTCGAACTACTCTTAAAATAAAACTATAGTATCGAAAGCCGGTCAGATTATGACCGAACAATAGACTGAACTTGAAAATATATCAACGGAATGAGAAGCTATATTAATTTTACTATGAGAATTCGTTTTTATTGAAAACTTATCTACAAATGCTGAGACAACATATAATCTAATAATTGAAAATAATTAGAGGGGATTTAGCTTTCAAAAAGATGAACATGAATTTTCATGTTGGAAAACGCATTCACATATGTATTAATAAGTATGGCTATGGGACGTCAATACTACGTTCCATTGTGATTTCACGAGCGATAAGCAAACAGTTAATTGACGAAATTGAGCAGATTTCAGAAGTAGAAAACTATTAAATATATCGTTGTTCACTCGTCTTTTTATCGAATTTGAGATCAAACTTTTTTTTCTTGCTATTTATAGAAGAAACTAAACAGCACACTTATTGGTATAAAGTAAAAGTTTGAAAGCTGTACTATGATTGAAATGTCTTCTGGATATCGATTAGTTCTGGACCGAGTCCGATTGGATTCTGGGTACAACATCCGAGTGCAATTCGATTCCAAGTATAAGACAGACGCATCGGGATTGGGCTTAGGTAAAAAAAGGGAGTAGGTCGCCTTGGAGTACAAAAAGTCGTACCCGTGTGTAGGGTACTAGTTTACATCTCGATAATGGATATGGGTGTGAAATAAAGAAAAGAAGTATATCAAGAGACACATTTTTCGTTGATCCTTTTTGGTATCAGTGGCTTATGATTAAGTATTGTATTTTGTTGAACATAAAATTTCATATGCCGCCATGGCGAGCTTTTACTTTGATGTCATATGTTAGTCGAGTCAAGAGTGGTCTAGGTCAATTTGACATTGGATCTTAACGTCTATATATATAATCGAAATTTATTAATGGTATTCAACTATAGATATTCACTTCTTCCTCATCTGTGTTGATATAATCAGGAAAACTAAAATGATGACAATTCTATTTTGCTCTCAACAATAAATACAAAGATGACAGAACAACAGTATTGGGAACGTTTGATGACTGCACGTGTATGCTCATTGCCTATATTGGAGTGAAAGATTTTGATGAAAGCAATAAAAGATTAAAAACTAACACGTACTCAGCCATTCGTTTAAGTTGCCGATCTACTAACTATATAATTCTTCAATAACTATACGAAAATCAAATGCAATAAAATTGTCAAAAAATATTTTAAGCAATGTATGAATAGAAATAAAAAGGTTACAAATACAAATTGGATTATTACTACAAGTAAAAAAAGAAAAATTACACTACCATATAAAGAATAAATGATTAGATCGATGGTCCACCCAAACAAACGAATGAAAAAGTCAACAGATATATTATAGAGATGAACAAAATAGAACTAAACAGAAAAATAAATACACATACATTTCAATAGATATATAAATAGTTGAATCATTAAAATAACTTTTCACGAACATGAAATATATTCCGAGGATGACCACGTGATAATATCAAAACTATTCAGCACTGTAGTACTCGCTAAGCTGAATTATTTTATAGAAATAATGACTCAAGATATTCTGAAGTACACTGTCAAAAGATATTGGGTAAATAAAACTCTTAAAAACCCGTTATCTTCCCTATTTATCCGTCATAAAATTTATATTATTATTTGCTTCTCTGATAGAGAATTTGATCTCGAGTGTGTTTTAAAACTGTCTCCTAACTCAATAGAAGAATTGTCAACATATCGTATGGTTGGTTGGAAATATCTATAATTACAAAATATACGAAACAACCGAAGCAATACAAGAGAGGAAAGAATAAAATAAAATATTCTCAGTTTTAATGTATAACCTATTTCTTTATGCATTCGGAGCAAAATCAGCGGATGCAGAAAGAAACACAAAGATTTTTCGATCGCCGCGATAATTATAAAGGTGTATTAACCTTAAATGAATAGGCAAGCAGACAATCATATTTCAATCAAATCTATTCAGTCAACATTGTTTATTCGCTTGCGAACTGATTAAGAAAAACGGAGTTACTTTCCCGTTGTACTATTGCTAGACGTGTTTTTACTGCTCACAATGTTGAACTCTAATATATTCAATCCTACATTGTTTTTTTTGATAATTTAATATTCACAATTTCCAACGTTAATTCATATCGAAAATAAAATACAATAATTTCAATAAATCTAACAATAGGCGATCGTCAAATAAATTAGCAGAAAATCTTTGACGTGATAAGAATATTAGTGGTGTAACAAAGATTTTTTCACATTCAACTAATCACAATTTTTTTAATTATATAGAAATACTGACAAACAAAAGAAGAAAACCTTTGAAAATTTCATGATTGCATGAATATTAGAAACATAAAAGGAAAAAATATAACGATAAAATATACTATCTGCCAAGTAGATTAATATCAAACTTTAAACTTTGAAAATAGTAATAAATAAGCGAGTGAAACAAATAGACAATAGAAACTGATCAAACCTTACACATATACAGAGAAAAAGTATTCGTACGTCTTTCAGGACATTCTATTTCTTTATGATTGTTAAAAAATTATTTTTCATTCTGAAAAAAATATAAATACAAATTTTCACATTAGATGTGTTCATATAAGCATAACTTTAGGATACGTTTTATTTGCGTAAATTGCATTTTTTTTCTGCAAAAGTTTTTTCTAATCTATTTAATTCTTTCATTGCATTTCCATCATTCTATTGCAAATTTCTGAGTACATTCTTAGGAAATAATTTTTAAGACTTAAAAAAACTTATATTGTAATCAGTATAGCAAAAAATTTAACGTATAATTGGCATATCTAAGTGCTCCATTGCAGTCTGATCAACTGTTTCAGTGTAAATCGAAGAGAATGGGACATTTGTATGCCAATTATACTGTAATTTTTGCTGTACTGACTACGATATATCTGTCCTACAATCGTAAAACTTTTTGCCAACGAAATTACTGAAAAATGTGCAATAGGATGATGAAAATGTGATGAAAATAAGTAATATGAATAGATGAATAGAAAAAATAGTTTTGTTCGAAAAAAGTAAAACTCAAACTATGGTTTATTAGAAATCTTCTGAAAAATAAAAAAATATGTTGTATAACTAAATGATGTAGGAAATGATTTCACACATTGATTGCTTCGATATCAGCTCATCTATAGTCTTTCCAACTTGCTCAAGATACATTTTTAACCAATGTAAACTTGTTTTGGTCAACTGTATTTGGTTCTTTTTGCTACACAACTATGTCTTTCTTTCATAATATGTTGATACATTCTACTGTACTTTATCGTAGTGGTGTAACTAGAAGATCGCGAATGATATGGTAGTGCCCTCCAACCTTGGAGGAAATCCATGCAAAATAGTGTCACGGATAATAATTATTACGTTTTTC